TAAGGCATTTGACTGCTAACCAGAAGGCTGGTGGTTCAAACCCACCAGCCACTTCCCAGAAGGAAGATTGGGCAATCTACTTCCATAGAGATACTGCCTCAGAAACCCAAGGAGGGGGTCGCTATGAGTTGGAAAAACAACTCAATGGCAGTGACTTTGGTTTGGTTTTTGATCTTACAGAAAGTGAGCAAATAGGAGATGAATAATGTCTTATGGGGACACTGTTTTATAGGTAGAGCAAAGACTTTTGGATTCAAGCTCAATAGCTTTAATGTTGATTTTACTACAGATTCAACATGCATCTTTGAATATAAGAAATTTGACCTTGCTTTTCTTTTGAATTAAGGATTACAGCATTGGCCACTAGTTAGGAGCTATATGAATATGCATGTTAAAATGCACAGTGAGGAAGTTATTCACAGAAATAGTATGACAGAGCTGGAAAATAGACTTCAGACAGTAATTTCTTTTTTAAAAAAATTTTTTGAAGCACTTTGGATTTTAATGTGAAAAGAGCTATTTAAAGTCTACGCATTTTAATTAAAAATAGTTTATCTTCTTCTATAGGTTGGGTTTATCAGCCTCGTCCAGGGAAGCGAAAACGTTTCCCTCTTAGTGTTTCCAATGTATTTTCTGGTACCACACAGAATATCATCTCTACAAATCCTACAACAATTTATCCTTATCGTTCACCTACGTACTCTGTGGTTATTCCCAGCCTACAGAACACCATCACTAATCCGGTTGGTGAGTTGGTTTTATTGTAGATTACTATTTTTCAGTAGCTGTGTGAAAAATTTGCCTCTGAAGTTAAAATTTTGCTTCTGTTAGACATAAGAATTTAAAACAATATTAACTAAGAAAAAAAAGGAAAAATAGAGAAAGTGAGAAAATCAAATCAGAGAAGGAATAATTTCAGTAGACATCAAAGCACATGGTTTGCTAATAGGAAATACTCCCTGTATAAAGCCTCAGACTTGTATGCAAATTAGAATGAGCCCTTAGATAAGGCAAAGGTAATTCAATAGGAAGTAGGAGTATCTTTTTACTATCAATGTAAAAGGATGGGGTCATGAAGCATCATGTTCTGGAACTTAGTAACATGACTGATCTATTAAAACCATTCTCTTACTGCTCAAGAAAAACAATGGAAATAATCTATGTTCTACTAAATATTTGATTGGTTCATTATATTGCCTTTACCTAAATCTCTTCTCTATTACTTGTTCTTTATAAAATTCCTGTCTGTAGCTTTTGAGAGCCCCAAACGGAGAACCCAATGTCTTAATAACTTGTTATAGTACTATCCATCATTGGTCTGTTCTTTCTGAACCTATTTTAACCACCTCTCAAAAGAAAAACAAAAAAGAAACCCATTGCTGTCAAGTTAATTCCGACTCATGGTGACCTCATGAGTTTGTTGTAGAGTAGAACTGCTCCATCAGGTTTTCTTGGCTGGAAGAGATTACCAGGCCTTTCTTCCTCAGAACTGCTGAGTGTGTTCAAACTACTTTAGGTTAGTGTAGTTGAGCACAAACCATTGCACCATCTAGGGACTTTTCCCACTCACTGCCGTCGAGTCGATTCAAACTCACAGATACCCTATAGGACAGAGTAGAATTGTCCCATAAAGTTTGTGAAGCTGTAAAACGTTATGGAAGCAGACTGCCTCCTCTTTCTCCCATGGAGCAGCTGGTAGATTTCAGCCACTGGCCTTTTGGTTAGCAGACAAACACCTTAGCCATTGCACCACCAGTGTTCCTGTTGTTGTTGTTGTTGTTATGTGCCATCGAGTGGGCCCCGACTCATAGC